ACATCCTGTGTATATAGGTAGTATGTACGCTAGACAGCGTCGTTCCCTCGTGGTTTCTCATCCGCTTCGAGTAAGCTCCACTCCACACGGTGTCTTCCCACTTAGCCAAAATTCTGAAAAAAGTACAGGTGACTGGTTTTGGCTAGGTGGGAATGGTGTACAGGTAAGGGGAGGGAGAGAACAAAAGAAATTAATTACAGGTGATCTATTGTCTGTTTTAGATTAAGAATAGAAAAAGTCTGACAATAAATTGAATGGTATTGAAATCAATATTTATTAATAAATTCATATTTTAATTAATTCAAATTAATTATAAACAAAAAAAAAATAATTTTTAAAAATTTTTCATTTGCATTGATTTAATTTGTAATTTAAAAAAGAATTATAATCTCTGTGAATTGATATTTTAGCTTATTTAAATCTGAAATCTGTACCGTAAATCATGTGTTTTAATGAAAATGAGTAAAATTCTAATTCATGTAATTAACAAAAATCAAATCAATGAAAAAAAACAATTGAATTTGATAAGATGATTGCATGATAAAAGTATTTTTAATGCAAATTATATATTCATTTTGAAATAATTAAACTTATTACAAATAAATTATGCTCATACTTGTGCCAGATAAGAGTTACATGTATATAAGTTTCTCTTTTTTCTTGAAAAAAAAATTCATTCAAACATACATTTGTTCATTTTAAATGTGCATCTGATGCATGTACTAAGGGAGAAATCAATGGGGTTTACTTTCTTTTATGTATAAAATGCTGGATTTTTAATCGTTATAAACAAACAATTGTAAATGAATATGGACATTTTTCTAAAGACTCTACTTCTAAACGATTTTGTACATTATGAATTTAATATCAGTTTTGGACACTTTAAATTAACTTCTAGTGTACTAAATAAATCAAATTATATTATGATCATTTAAACAAATTTAATGTTACAACAATTGTTTTGAACATATTTTATTGTATAATTTATATAAAGGGATTGGTTACAAGTTCTTACAACTTAAAAAAAAACACCTTTTTTGAGGGTTATTTCGGTTGTGTTTACACTGTTTTCAATTTGATTTTTTTTTGTCAATATAAAAATACTTATTTATCTAATAACAAATTTATCATATAAGACTTCTATGGCATTGCACCACAGTCACTTGCTTTAGAAAAAAAATTACCATACCACATGTATTATAATAGCATAATATAGATTGAAATTTTATTTTGAAACAAGTGCATATGGATTGCACATATGCGTATAAGAATTTAATTATAAACACGTGTGCATAAATGCACTTATCTCAATTTTAATCATGTACGTTTAATCATGTACGTACATGAATTCTAAAAAATAGCACTAATATTTCTACACAATAAATCAAGCTCAATTCCCTTTTATTTCATTTTTTCTAGAGATCTGTTGATTGCCATAGTTATTAAAAAGTAATAATTCCAATATGTGGATTTTTTTCTTTCTTTTCTTTTTTTTTTTTTGGGGGGGGGTCAATTTTTTTTTATCTCTATGTTGATCAATGAATTTATAAAGTCATTTTTAAATTAATTTATTTAAATAAATCATACTTAACATTCTCCATTCTCTTTTCATAACTATTGCTATAAGTCTTAAAATATATATATTATTTTTTGTTCTTTTTTAAAAAAAAAATTAATTAATATTAAGTATGCATTTTAAAATAGTTAATAAGTAGGACTTCATTTTTTAGTCTTATATCTAAAACAAATATTCATAATATTTATTTATATGATTAATGAACCAGTACACCACGGGTATATATTACAGGTAAATTAAGTCTAAAACAGACTATACACAGGTGACCACTCAGGTGTGAATATCCCAATTTTGGCTAGATGGGAATAAGAAATTCAGAATTTTGGCTAAGTGGGAATAAACCCTCCACACCAAACTTACCTGAGGAAAACCGAACGGTTACACAGACATCTGAAAACTTGAAGCATGGCAACTTGCTGATTAAAATAAGTTAATTTCTGTGTTGTGTGTTCATATATTTTAAGGGCCCATATTTGTGTTTGTGTTTTATTTGAACCGGGGAAATCTGATATTTGTTTATGTTCATAGACATGATTTTAGTAATTTCGAAAAGAGCAGAAAATAGAAATACATTCAAATACTAGCTATAATATTATTGATATTCTGAATAGAATGACCTGTGATTATTTTATTTACAATAACCCCCCCCCCCCAAAAAAAAAAAAAATCGTTGATATTTAGTTCATAGTCTTACAGTGTAGCGCATAATAATGGAGCAATGGTATTCCTAAAATTGTTAAAATTTAATTGTAATTATGTATCACTATCTATCATCGTTTTCCATGCTTTTATTTATAACAGACATGTATACACAAGTAACGGTACTTTTCTAAATGAAACCAAATGACTGATATAATCTCGCAGATAAATAAACACATATAGCTTTATGTAACTGCAACTGCACGGGCTAATTGTGAACACCGGATTACAGTGCATATAAAGAGAAGCGATATCATGGCATTCTTTAAATTTTAATTATACCTTTTTAGCAATTTGAAGATCATTTGGGGTGGCATTTTTGATTTTGAAAATAAACTTAAGTTAATGTATTCGATAAATTATTCGACTTTATTTCATCCTATACTGTACATGTATTACTGTGAACAGACGTTTTTGAGAATTAATTATTTTTGAGTGACCTTTGGTAAAAAAAAAAAAAAAAGAAAAAAGGAAGACTTTTTTTTTATTAAACAATTTGATAAAACTTAAAAAGGAATTTTTAAAGAATCCATGTAATGGTATAAATCTATTAATATTAATGTGGTCGTAACCCCCCCCCCCCCCCCCCCCCCCTCATTTCGACACGATTAAAAATCGACAATACTTTACAGGTAAGAACATCTAAGCTGAAGAATAACGGTAGCTGGCCCCGCCGCGGTGTAAACACGGTCTCAGGTAGCACCGCGATCAAAACCCGCGACGGTGTAACGCGGAAAGGATTAATACACCGCGGAGGGGACGCGGTTTAATATGGGATCCGCGTTGCCTGTACTGTAGCTCTCGGTGGCATCGTGTTCAGAAAAGAAAAGAAAATTCTTTATTTATATATATATATATATTATTTTTTATATTTGTAAGAAGAAATTTAAATTAATTATCTCCTCATTCTCATATGCTTTATTATTTCTTTTTATAAAGTTAGCCTAATTTTTTATTTATTTATTTATTTATTATTATTATTTTTTTATTATTATTATTATTATTATTTTTATTTATTTATTTTTTATTTTTTTTTTATCTCCCCTTGGTATGGAAATCTGAAACGTGTCGGATCAATTTATAAAACAAAGAAAATTTAATTAAGCCAAAGCAATATGATATAAATCCTAACGATCAAGATAATTGACTTAATAATCATTATATCTTATCACATACTTACATCATATAATCTGTTTTAATGAAAACTTATATAGATACAACGTGGTCGGCTAATACAAAATGGCCACAACAGACGCTAGAAAAAATTATCATTATAAAATCAAGGATCATCGGGAAATCATGAATAAATACTCCTAAATTGATTGCAGCAAACAACTACCAAATAGATAACAAAAACATCCATATGTATTATACCCATTAACTATTTTTCTAAATATCTAAATTTGCAAAAAATTATTCCTTAAAATTGCACCAACCTCATTCATATAGTCTGTGAATGAAAAAGGATTAACGGAAGTTGACTCAGGGGGAATAACTCTAATTGATTATAGGGATTATAGGCCGATCTATGGATTTTGTAATATGGGAAATTAACACTTTCTTCGATAAAAGCCTCCAATTCGAATAGAATTGGATGTGATAATATATATATGTCTTATAACATCAACATCAATTTTAAGTACCGACTTTGACTTTGTTTTACGCCCTTCAAACTCTTAATTGACTTAGAACTCATTAAAAGTTACCACTGTTCATAGTTTTTATTTTCTATATTCAAATTTTATGCAGTCCTCAAAAGATAAACTTACATTGCAGAGGATACACAATGTTTGACGTCGAATGTAACCTATAACGTTCAATGCGGTCTTCGATTTACAACCAGTATTCAACTTCTTATAGGCATAACTACTTTTGGTACGGACGTGACAACTGTCCTAGAATCTTTTGCACTACTTGTATTTATAAACAACTCTACTGATGCTCTAGAGTGTTATGTCATTTCTTAGCCTTTAATTTTCCGTGTCTGTTATAGACAAATAGAGATTGAAACAATTTTATCAATTTCTCGTGCGCTTCTTTCGCGTCTGACGACGTTATTTTCAGTAAACTCAATTCTAACAACACTCTGAAAATTGCGATAACATTCCTATGCTTCGGATGCGATATTTATGTATTCCAATACCATATCTGCATTCCTGTAAATCGTCATAATAGTTTTACCTTGAAGGATATTAATTTAAAAGTTCTCTATTTTAAGGATTATTGAACTATATGGTAATGCAAAATTGGTCAAATTGGTTGAATGTTTAAAAAAATATATACATTATCTACGACTTTTTGAGGTCAGCCCTCGCCACCTCTCTATGTAAATTAAAACTTTGACACTGAATTGCCATGTGAGGGCATCAGTATTTTACAAGATTTTGATTTTGGACAAAGGAATGTCAATATCGATCTGCCCCACGATAGATATAAATCCATCTGATATGCCAGGGTATACCTTAGGATTAGATAGTCTGAGTGTAAACAGTTTTATTAATTTCCTGAAGGATCAGGAAATTAATGTTATCATGCTCGAAATAGCCACAACCAGTGGAGGAAAACAATAGCATTATCCGTCCTGTTCTCTCACATATATTTATATAAAATCAAAGCTTACAACCTTTTAAATCTTCGGATATTTTTTTTAAATAGTTGTATGACAACAGTGTTAAACCATTAGTTAATTAAATCTTATTCATAACTAGAACATATATTTTCACAAATGGACTTTGCCTTGGAAAATGCACACCAATTCTGGAAAGAGCAAGCGCAACTTGAAGCAGGGAAAAGTAAGTTTCAAATTTCAATACTGGGGATACATAGTGATAATGGGATAGTACATGTGTAATCAACACTACATTTGTAAAATAATCTTATTTTGTTACAACTTGCCATTTATCCATGTACAAAGATATATAATCAGATGCATAAAATATGTTGTTTGATATTTTGTGTGATATTGTTGTAATGCGTACAGATGATAACGTAAAAATGGTCAACTGCAACATCATATCGGCTAAAAAAAGTTGGATAAACCCTACGGTGGCATATTACTGTCCCTATATTTAATTAAAATTATGTAATGAATTACATGTATATGGAAAAAACGAATCGTATTTAAGCTCAAAAGTCCATTAAGCAATTAGTATGAAAAACATCTGTCAGCATTTGATTCAATGATAAATTGTATTTGCTGACAAGGTCATTATATTGACCATAAAACGTATGAAATGATGACTTTTAACGAGACTGCTGATATGCTTGTTTTACCAACTTGTTTGTCAATAATTTACCTCGTTTTAGAAATTGTACATACATAGATCATACTCTTGCGTATCGAGATCAAATGAGATTTATAAACTCCATATGCAGGTGATTGCTTCATAAGTAATGGAAGTCGACGATTGAAAAGTTAATGATTGTATATTGTTTAACGTCCCTCTCGAGAATTTTTCACTCATATACACATGGAGAAGCCACCATCTTCCGATGGAGAGCTGCAATTTTTTCCTATACAGGCGCTCAGGGCCATTGATTAGGGAGGGCTCTTTTTCTTGCCAGTACCTATTGCGATACGGTACCTCGGTGTATACCGTTTCATACGAAGGACCCGTCTCCAGGTCCAACAATGGGATTCGAACCGTTAAAGTCATCACGTTTATCATAGAGCTTGGTTGTTAGAATACCATTATTGTATTTTTCAAGTTAAATATCCAAATATGAAACAGGTGTGTCAGAGTCTGAGATATCTTTTATCTCAAGCTCACCGGGATATATCGTATCGACATAAGAATGGAAATAACAATTATTAATTGACGACGTTGAAACATCTAAAAGTCGAGTTGAAGCCCATTTAAAACAAGTGTTTTCTTTCACGTTTAAGATTTTAGACAAATTCTGCTTTATGTGAATACAAAAATAGGTCTGCTAATACTGGGGCACAATTGGTACCCATGGTTTTCCAGTAGATTGTTGGAAGACCTGGTCTCCAAAACCACGTAGATATTGTTAATCAGAAACTCAAGCATCTTTTTTATGCAAACATGCAAAATTATGAGGTAGACATGCGACTAATTAATGCAACATGCAAAATAATTATATTGATATGCAAGCTACCAATCTCTTTTAGAGAATCTAATTTAAATACGTATGTATACGTTATAAACGTTATGTTGCAGATCGAGAAAGAAGATTTCAACAAGGTAGAGGACCATGCAATATTTTTATTCTAGATACGTCCTCTAATGTCGGCGAAGAAGGCTTCATACAAATGAAAGAGACATTCTGCGCAATAATGAATGGTGCGTGTATTTCAACCATAACCATTTCATAAAAATTTTCTGAAGTGTTTTTGTATAAATCACAATTTTATATTTTTATTACGGGGTATCAATATCCAGGCAATAAATTAAATTATTAATTGATTAAGATATTGTGTCTATTTCAGAATATGCAAAATATCCCAAAACTGATGAGAATGTGACTGTTCTGACTTGTGGGAAAACGACAACATTTAAGCATTATTACTCTAATCAGTACTCTGGATTGAAGCATTGTATCGGTAATTAGTGTACTGACAATATTGTTCCTAACATTTTCAGGGTATCGCTGTGTCTTTGTATTCGAGAACATTTCAGATGATGTTTCCCAAATTTCCTTTCATTTCTTGATAAACAAAATACAAATGTATAATTTTTAATCAGAAAAATTTTGCTTTATCATGTCAAAAATATTGCAATTCACCCTTTCCAGTATTTCATTTGAAAAAGAAAAATCATTTTTAAAAATTATTTTCCAGTTGAAAAATAATACTCATTTAACTGTTTTACTTTTCAGAAACGTTTTGGTAAATGCAAAAACAAATCAATTCTGCAAGTATAAACAAAACCTCTTTTTCAGATGATGTTGAATATGGCGGACCCTGTCCCCTTACTGCAGCATTTATATTACCAGAGGGGGCAATTTGTAGAGGCGCAGGTGTAATCTTTAGCTTTGAGAATTTTTACAATGTTAAATATGTTGGAGCACTTTTGATATTGTACATGTATTGATACTTATGTAAAAGATGCTGCATATATAACGAACACTGATTTATAAATTCATTTTATTCATTTTTTACGTGTTTAAGGCTATACAAAGGTTATGGAACATTTTCATATACATCCCCGTCTCATTCTAATTTCTGCTGGGAGACCAAATGATTTTACTGTCATGAATGACGATGAAAACCTGCCTATTTACGGACCCGCTGAGGTAAAAGAATTTCATCTTGATTTAACCTAAAATGTGATTTCAATATGGAGGAGGTTTTAAAACCTGTAATCCTTGTATTTGCAAACATTATTGTTCAATTTAGGAAATTTGTCAATGGACTGTATTTTCATATTTTTATGATTAAGCAGAGTAAAATTAATTCAGTTACAAAAACTTACGTATTTCATATTCAGGTGAGAGACCACTGGTTTCAAGTGGCAAGATATCTTGGACAATTCCATCCAATTTTTTGTATTCCAGTTGGTAATAATCCAGACATGGTACGGTAACTAAATCATGTTTCTAGCAATTAAATTTAACTGCAGAAAATCAATAATTAAGATTTCATTTAAAAGAAAAAATGGAAATATGAATGAACTATTCCGCGATCAAAAACATTTTTCTGTATTTTCAAAAATGCAAATCAAGAATATAACAGTAAAACAAAAATCTTGATAAATCAAATTCGTTATCCAAGTCCAAGCTTAGTTTCCCTCTTTTTTGTCCTTTTGCATTCATTTATTATACATTTTGTAGCAATGGGACATGCATCTGTGGAGGTTGTGATGTCATTATTTTGTGAGACTTAAAATATATGTTTATTTTTTGTTTATAAGATTTACAATGCTTTAATCGCCCTCCCAACCAATATGAAATATATTCCTACGGTCATATTGAGAAGAGGTTTTTGCAATGTAAGAATATTTTTTTAACTGACAACGAATTAATGACTGTATTTCAGTCTTAAAATGCATTCCGGTGACAGTTTTTACTTTTTTTTTACACCCGTACTCAAAGATTAGGGTATATTGCCCTGTCCGTCCGTCTGTCTAACTGTCTCTTCTATGTTTGTCCGCAATAACGTTTAAGCTTGGAGCTTTATATAGCTCTAATATTTCTCATGTGTTTTAATTTTGGCAACACTAACAAATTTGATTTCTTAACCTTAAACTTGGATTTTGACCCATATTTGCAAAATCTTATTCACGTTTAACATTGGCAATAAGTTTTGAACAGTTGGTACTAGAGCTTTTATTTTTAGTCTGGCTTTGCTTAAAGCAAAGTCCTGGTTATACGCATCGTGATCTACTGCCTTACTATAAATAGCACAGTGTAGAAAAGTAAACCAAAAAAAAAAAGAAAAAAAAAAGAAAAGAAAAGAAAATCAGCGTCAAAGCAGACGCTGCCGCTAAACAATATAGTCACAGTGCGAGACGATACTTAAACATATATTTTTAACATCTCAATCTTTGGAAAAGTCAATGATCTATAATTTTACGCGAGAATTAAATTGAAAGAATAATTTAGATATTTGTTTAATTAGGCTAATCGTGACATAATATTTGTGCACATACGCAGCTAAATGCTTATTGTAAGCGAATTTTTTTCAATAGCGCAGGCTTTTCGACGGGTTCATTGGGGTTGAGATTGTTGAAGATCAAGTTTCATTACGTTTTCATCGATGCTATGTTAGTGGTTATATTCTCTGTTTTGATTTTTAGCAAATTAGTTGTTTATTTTAATTCGAATTTCAAGAATTAATATGTGCAATGCCTGAAGTCGCTTGACAATGTACCAGCTTTAAAAAAGGAGTAGCGAAAATTAATTTCTCCTTTCCAAAAACAGTAAATAATTTCGAACAAAAATCCTTATGAAATTTAATATTTTGTATCACGATGATTTAAAATTAAAGTTATAAATGCAATTCTTTTAGGTTAATATTTTAAATTAAAACTTCTAATTTTGATGACTGGTATAACGCTTTACATTTTGTGAAACATGTTATATGCAATGACAAATATATATAATTTTTGTGCTTACTTATCAGATCAAAGTTTTAACGAAAGGTCAGTTCTTGTGTTTTGTGAAAAATTTTATTCGAGACTTCTCAACTTGGACTTACCATTATCTCGTATGTGCTCCCAGAGTACTTTACAGTATATTAAGCGTGCGCGTGTATTTCAATAAAAAGGTGTCTAAAAAGACATGCAAGCTCTCATGGGTGCTGGGATATAAAAATAGTTCATGTAAATACATGTATATAATTTTTAAAAATACATCATATAAAAATTTCATTAGTCTTTATTAGTACATCACAATATTTTCAGATGTAGTTGTTTCAATTAGTCTTTGCTTCAACACTTTCTATTCAGAATGAGGAGCTCACTATGCACAAGCCATACAGAACTGAATATATCATGATTTTCCCAGGCAATGACGACTATTTTGGCCAGACCTGGAACTAACGAAAACTACACTGTAGACTCATTCATGTCATAAAATGCAATGTAACTGTATTAGAAAATAATCAATTTCGTGCAGCTAGTTTCTTAGGACCAGAAATAAGAATATTTTTTACTGATAAATACAGACAAAAAGTATCTTTTTTAAAGGAAAAAATAGGGAAAATTTTCAAAATCCGAAAATTCTATTCCTTGGGTAGGGGTAAATGATTGTTGACATCTTAAGATATCATACCTAAAAAGTTAAATCTGATGGTTAATTTGTTGATACCCCAGCCTCCTTAAATGCACGTCGACTTTTAACAGAAAAACTTAGGATATGTCTCTGCTCATTCAAGAGGAGGAAAGATTGTTTATCCCTCTGAAGTCATACAGTTTGCAAGATATTCAGAAAATATGGTAAAATGAAATAATTAACTAGTGCTAATTGTAACGGGGACCGTTACAGATGTTCCCCAAACGCTCCCCAACTCCCTTTTGGTGCCATATTCCCTGTAAGCTCTATTAGATAAGACATGCTTTATGATATTTAGACTTAAACAACGTTTTCCCAGAAGAATACAAAATATATTTAAATTTTAGCATTGCACGCGTGCTCATATGAATGCATGTACATAATGATCATATCATCTTGTCTACACTATTTATGTATTTTAATATACTAAATATCAAAGCATTTAATCAAGAAGTATTCAAAAATACACTCGGTCAAACGTATTTTTGATTTTACTTATTTCACGTGCACCCACGTGCAAGCATGTGCATGATGACCACACCTTCTTGGGGGAGTTCATTATGTCTATCTATATTCTAAATCCCATCCTCTTTGGTTGGAAACCAAGGGAGTTATAACCATTTAAAGTTTAAGCCAATGAGATTGCAGCGCACGTGCACGCGTGTGATTTCATTAAAATATTATATATCGTATTGTAGGATATCTTAATGCATGACTATATTTTAAATTTCAAAGCATTTCGTCAAAAAACAAAAAAGATATCGAGAATTTTGTTTCAGCCAATCAGAGCAAAGCGCATGCGCACGCACGTGCATGCATGTGCATGGTGACCATACCTTCGTGTAGGAGTCCATTATGTCTGTTTATGTTCTAAATCCCATCTTGATTGGTTTTAAAACAAGGGAGTTATAGCCATTTAAAGTCTTAGCCAATCAGATTGCAGCGCACGTGCATGCGCGTAATTTCATGACAATTGTTACATATCATATTGTAGGACATCCTAAAATATGCCTATGTTTTAAATTTCATAGCATTTTGTCAAAAAACAGAAAAGATATTGAGGTTTTTGTTCCAGCCAATCAGAGCGAAGCGCACGTGCCTGCGCGTGAGTTCGTGCTAATTTGACAGTGTCACATTATCTACACTATTAATATGTCTTTGTATAATGAGTTTCAAATCATTTCATTAAAAAATGTAAAAGTTATAGCTATATTAAGTATATCAGTCATTTCACTCATATCACGCGCACGCACGTGCATGCGTATGCGCGCAAAATGACCTTCGTTCCGCACACCTACACTACACACCTATTAACCCTAAAAAGGTTTTAGCTCAGTTGGGTGAACAGTTTCTGAGAACACTTCCGGACAAAAAAGTACCGGAGAACAAATAAGAAAAAAAAGAATAATAATAATAATAATAACTAGTGCTAATTGTAACGGGAACCGTTACAGATGTTCCCCAAACGCTCCCCAACTCCCTTCTTGTGCTATATTCCCTTTAAGTTTCATTAAAGAAGGCAAAATCTATGCATTTAAGACGTAAACAACGTTTTCCCAAAAGTATACCAAGTATTTCCAATTTTAGCAATGCAGGCGTGCGCATGTGATTGCATGAGCGTAATAACGATATCATCTTGTCTACACTATTTTACTCATTTGCACGTGCACGCACGTGCATGATGACCATACCTTCTTGTAGGAGTCCATTATGTCTGTCTATGCTCTTAATCCCATCCTGTTTGGTTGAAAAACAAGGGAGTTATAGCCATTTAAAATTTAAGCCAATCAGATTGCAGCGCACGTGCATGCGCGTATTTTCATGACAATTATTATATATCATATTGTAGGACATCTTAAAGTATGCTTATGTTTTAAATTTCAAAGCATTTTGTAAAAAAACAGAAAAGATATTGAGATTTTTGTTTCAGCCAATCAGAGCAAAGCGCACGTGCATGCATGTGAGTGGTGACCAAACCATCTTGTAGTAGTCCTTTATGTCTATCTATGTTGTAAATCCCATGCTGTTTGGTTGAAAACCAAAGGAGTTATACATGTTATACTCATTTAAAGTTTCAGCCAATCAGATTGCAGCGCACGCGCATGCGCGTGATTTCATGAAAAATTTTATATATCATATTGTTGTACATCCTAATGCATGTCTATGTTATAAATTTCAAAGCATTTCATCATAAAACAAAAAAGATATTGAGATTTCTGTTTCAGCCAATCAGAGCAAAGCGCACGTGCATGCGCGTGAATTCATGCAAATTTGACCATGTCATCTTATCTACACATCTTATATATCTTTATATAATGAGTTTCAAAACATTTTATCAAAAAATATAAAAGTTACAACCATAGTTAATATATATGTCATTTTACTCATTGCACGCGCCCGCACGTGCATGCAAATGCGCGCAAAATGACCTTCGTTCGGCACATCTACACAACATGCCTACTAACCCTAAAAAGGTTTTAACTTAGTTTGGTGAACAGTTTCTGAGAACACTTCCGGACAAA